GGAGGGAGGGAAGGTGGGAGGAAGACAAGGAGGATTCCACTGCTTTTGAATACTAACATAGCTCCAGATATTAATGACACGCACTAGCCAAAAGCAGCCACACTAACACGGCACAAGATTTTTTGAGATGTTTGATTTCACGGTCTATGTGTTTCGTGTGGGGTGGGCCCAGATCTGGAGTTCTACTTCCAGGTTCTACTTCTACCCGCCCCGCCCGTTGGGCTGCCAATGCCGCGTCCTGGGCCTACGCCACCCAAGTGATGTGTGGTGGCTGCCCTGACACTGTTGTTTCACCCTGTCCGTCCGTGTGCATAGCGCCCCCCCCGACCTGCTTGGAAGGACTAGGTCCAGTTTTATTCCGGTTCTAGTTGTCAATTCAATTCCTACGATGGAATTAAAATGTGTTTTGCGTTTGGGGGGGCGCTAGGTCCAGTCGTAGGTGTCATGCATTTCCTATGACCTATGATAAATTATATAAATTTAGAATTTGCTTTATGTCGGGGGACGAGATCCAGTGCCAGAACTAACTATTGTATATGGTTCCCCAAACAGTGCGGGCACACTGAGGGGTTCTTACGGTAAGTGAAAAGCAGGTGTGCTTAGATCGCTGTTCGGCGCGGGCGTGTCCGGCTAAGTCGCTGCTATTTACAATACATGTCAGTTTCACATGAAGATGTCATTGATAGCTAACAGTCCTGATCTCGTGTGGTTGTGCACTTAATGTTACCGTAACATTCAGGCTCCATTTTGTGAGTGAAAGGGCGCTGCGCGTTCCGCTACATGGTAGCGGAGCCCTGAAAGGGGCTCTGCTGGTCGACTTCTTCACCAAGGAGGGCGTGTTCGAGTAGGCCTGGATTCCTGATCGGGTGCATTTTGCTGCTTGGATTGATTAGCAATCCCCTGGTGCTGGCAGAGCAGGTGAAATTCGTTGAACACAAGGCCCACCAGACAGCAAAGTTCAGGTACAGGCATTTTCACGTGTACAAGTTGCTTTTGGGTGAGAGATCACCCGTTGAGATCAAGAAAGTCAACTGCAGCAAGCCGGAAGTCGTGTTTCTAGAAGATCCCCACAAGGTGGAAGTTCAGGTACCTCAGACCTGGAGGCTGCTGCAATTTGATCTTTTCGAGGAGTTTGAGAAGGAGCAGGACCTGCGAAAGCGATTTCGTGTGTTCTGGCGTGAATGAGTGAAATTTTTGAGTGAAGAGAAGCAGGGTGAGCAGTTCATTTGGACGGAGGACGCTGGACGACTGACATTTGTTTGTTGGACCATGGCGGAGAGAGCATTGGATTCTTTACAGCGTTCATTGCAACAGTTGGTACAGGTACAACAGAGCAATCAATGGAGCAAGCATCTGGGCTCTTCAGAAGCATTCAAACCCACCACAAGGGATGAAGAGCTACGACAGTGGCCGGATTGGCGTTTTGGATTTCTACAATTCGTCAAGACAGTGGATCAGAAGACAGCAGAGTTGTTGGAAACCATCAATAGGCAACCCAATGGGAACTACAATGCCTCGGAGATGGATGAGGACACGGTGAATTTGAGCAAGAAGTTTTATGGTGTCCTGGTTTCCTACATGAAGAACCGTCCACTCACCTTGATCAGACACATCGAGGACTTCAATGGCTTCAAGGCATGGAGCATTTTGGTCAAGGAGATGGAGCCATCCACTCGACAGAGGAGTTTGGCATTGATGGCACAGTTGAGCAGGGTGGAATTTTCCACCTCCAAGAGCATTGCAGAGCAGATCTCCGTCTATGAGAACTTGGTTCGAGAGTATGAACGAATTAGTGGCAACCAGTTTCCTAGAGATTCGATGCTGGCAGCCATTTTGCAAGCTTTGCCAATGGCATTGAGGACCCAGGTTCAGATGACCATCACGGGGGAGACAACCTATGAAGAGCTCAAGGAGCGCATTTTGCACTACGAGAGCATTACTACGAGATGGGATTCTTCCAACTCGCTTCAACTGCCGGTCAGGCAGTCAGATGATTCAGTGCCAATGGAGGTTGACATGGTCTCCAAAAGCCGAAAAGGAAAAGGAAAGGAGAAGGGCAAAGGCAAGCAGAAGGGCAAGACAAAGGATGATGGCAAAGGAAAAGGCTTCTCCATCAAAGGAAGCAAAGGAAAGTTTGAGAAGGGAGGAAAGTCCAAGAGCAAGGACAAAGGCAAAGACAAAGGAAAAGATACTCGACCCACGTGTTACAACTGTGGGAAACGAGGACATGTCGCCCGTGAATGCTGGAGCCCAAAGAAAGTTCAGCAGATTCAAGCAGGTGAAGACTCACAGTCCACCGTCAGTCAGGGTGCGTCATCGGCTTCTCGAGCTGACACGCACACCTCTACGGTCAGACGAGTGAGATTGGTGACCCCTCCAGATGTCTTGCAGACCGAGGTGTTTGACATGACGGAGAACGATGAGGAGTTCACAAGCTATGAAGGCCAAAGCTGGGTGATGATGGTCACTCAGGATGATGAGACTCCAGATGATTTCGAGCCATCAGAGGATGGAGAATGGCTCATGGAGGCTGAACATGAGGATGAGAGCAGTGAGGACACAGAGGATGTCTTTCATGAATGTGAGGGTGCAAAGGACATTTGGGTGCCCCCAGGTGTCGACATCGTTGCAATGCACCTCCAAGATGAGCAACCGCCTTTGAGAGTGATCTCAGGGAGCAGAGTTGAGGATGAAGATGAAGCCAAAAAGAAGGCAGAAGTGAAGGAAGAAGAGTTTCATGTCAGGATGGTTCAGGCACCTCCAGAGGACGCTCAGATGGTCTCAATCACTCTGGATTCAGGTGCAGACATTTCAGTGCTTCCCATCAGCCAGGGCTATGCCAATGTGGGAGTACGTGACGGCAGCACGAAGGTTAAGATGATTGATGCCCAAGGAAAAGTCATTGCCTCGTCAGGTGTGACAAAGGCCAAGCTCACAGTCAGAGGTGCAGATGGGCAGCTCATCGAAATTCGAGAACAGTTTGCACTTGGCCAGGTGAAGCAACCGCTGTTATGTGCTGGGAAGTTTCTATCCAGAGGATGGTCCATTGATCACAAAGAATGTGGACTTTGCCTCACCAATCCACGTACAGAGACAAAGATTCCCTTGCATCTAGAGAACAACAGCATACACCTCAAGGCCAAGATCGAGATGGTTAGCATCTGCAGTGTCGATGAAGACAGCGTTCTGCAGCGTGATGAGTATGATAGATGGAGGATCGAAGACAAAAGGAGAAGACGTGAACGTGGTGAAGAAGATGTCAGTGATGATGATGTGACAAGCCACGAGAGTGAGGACTACACCCCAGCAAATCGCATCTTCGCACTCGAAGGCTATTTGAGCAAGGAGCTGGAGAACATTGCTAGAAGCCCAGGATGGCACAGACTCCCCAATGGAGTGGCTGTGTACCCAGATGCTACAGCCGACAAGTACCTCAATCCAGAAGGCATGTTGAATGAGAAATGGAACAAGCGAATGACGCTGATGAAG